TGCTTTTAAACGAGTCAACTGAATGGGAATAATCATTGGAAATATTAAAACCTGTTCTTTCTACTGAAGAAAATTGCTTCCAAAATGTTCACAGGTAAGGTGAACAGACTTGGTATTCCCCAAGATCCATAAAAGCCCTTTTCACTCCCTCTTTCACTAATCTTTTATCACCCAGGCTGTATGTATAATGGATCTGATTTCCCAGCCAAGCAGCCTACCTCTGGACAAAGTGCTCCTCTCAAACCAGGTCACGCTGTGCACACTGTTCCTACCCTGCTGCAGTTGTGTAAATGGAATCAGGACGTTAAAACACACACCCATCTTGCTCTGCCAAGGTTTCTAAGTGCAGCCCAAACCCAAGGCAGCAGATGGCCAAAGGAAAGGAAAGGACATGTGTACAACCCAAAATAACACAGGGAAGTCCTGGTTTAGGCATAAGAGGATCGGACCTCTTCAAAAAGCAGGGCTTCAGTAAAGTTGGTTTTAAAACATGAAGGTAGTACAGGGGAGAGGACCAGCATTTCCCAGGGACACTTCAAAGCTGAAGCACACAATCTCTGGGGGCAGGGATGCCAAGGAATCAGCGTTGTCAGTCCCTTCCCTCCAAGCAGAGTATGTTTTCCATCATTTTTCTGACTCTTACAACAACCCAGCCATGGGGAGCTGCAGCAGAATGCACTGCTGCTTCCTGAGCAACCCCAACTGGGACAACTCAGAGTGTTCCAACAGGATGAAGGACTTCATCAAGACTTGTAAACTCCAAACGCGCTCTCAGGCTTGAAACAGCATCACAGTTCAGACTCAAGAGGTCTATATTAAGAACACCCTACTTTTCCCTATGCAGCCACAAATCCAGAATCCTATTTAAGTGGTCAGCTGTAGATGAAACAAGGCTAAGGACAAGAGGTTCCAAAACCGGGTGACCAGCATAAAGACAGTATTTAGATACAAAACCAGATTGAGGGTAGAGAACTACTGCCCCCAGAACATCTCAGATATTGACCTCATATCCCCTCCTCTCCCCAGTAGATTTATTCCAGCACCACACAAGAACATTCCTTCAAGATGAAATAAAACCTGCTATCAGATTTCATGCAATTCCATACAATTTACACATCATCCAAAAGAAATGCAAACTTCTATGTATTTTGTCATGGCATATTTAATAGCTCCTAATGTAAATATATATATTGCTGTTGGCTTAAAGCAGGAACACAGCCAACTGTCCCCAGTATGTTGACAAGATGGAGGTTGGGAGGAGCTTTATTTTGGTTCAGCTTTACAATCTCTCTCTTGGCTTCAATTCACAGATTATGAGACCAGATAGCAAAGCCATAGTGATACTTTTACAAATGTCTGCATTGATAGCGAGTAATAAAGCACTCCCTAGAATTACACAAGCTTTACAGCACACAGCTCTTCAGGGCCAATAAAGCCATCAAGGCAAAGCTTTGGGGGAAAGGATTTTATTAAAACCTCTCAGACTTCACCATTTCACTTTCCATGGATTCTAAAGGATTGTTGGAGATGAGATGAAAATTTCAGAGAGGAGACAGGATAAATGTCCCTATTTACCAGCGTGTCCTGCCTGCAGCACTGCGGGATGATGGTGCATCAGTCAACAGATCCTTTTCCACCTTGAATTCTGGACAGGCCATCCATATTGCTTTTATTTTCTCATAAAGGATAAATCTGGGACACAAAGACCAGCAACTCTACAAGAAAAACCTTTCTGGCTCAACATCAAATACAAAACCTCATTCCTATGTGCACTGTCAGACACCAGCTTAAGGAGCTAAAGAAGAGCAGTAGTTTGATGCATACAGCCAATGCTATACAGCGTGCTAAAGCAACACCCTGAAGAAATGAAATAAAAATGGGTCCACTGATGTATCTAATATTGCACTTTGAGTAACTGACAGGTGGAGGAAGAGATCCCTCACACACAGTCCAGACATGATATTCACTGGAAGTTATTTGTTCCCCCTAGTGATCTGTCTTGGAGAAACCATTAAGCTCTTCCAATGAGCTCAAGCTGCTTTTCTTCAGCATGAAAGTATCAAAAAAGAGATTTTATAGCCAAATACAACCTTTTTTCAAGTAAGGGGAATGCATTCCCAAAACCTGCAATCCCTACCCACTGCATCCAGCAAGGACCAGAAGTAAAACATGCTAACACCAAACCACTGAGAGATGAAACATTTCATTTCGTGCTGGTGGTGAACAGGCTGTTGTTAAACTTTCCCAAACTTCATTTCCATTTGAATGTTCCTAAGACATGCTCAACACTTAGCAAAGAGGGTGGATGTACATTTTTAATAGGCAAATCTCATGCTATAGGTTGCAAATCTAAATGCCTCTGATCTCCTCTTCAAAGGCTCAGAGGAACGAAAGAGAATTCTGCCAGAATACATAGTACAGCAACCGCATCTTAGTACTGTTATAAGGAGAGGATTTCCCAGGAGCTCAGCATAACTTAATGCCTTTTACATATTATACCCAATCCATATTTTCAGAACAAAAGAAGGCTCTCATTCTAGAATAAAACAAAAGAAGACGGATACAATCTTTTTCACTTCAAGTAATGAAAAGCATCTTTTCCATTAAATTTAGAAGGCACAGGAATAACAAGAATTTATGTAAGAGATTAACGGTCTGGATTTTGATGAAAGTCCTTTCCTTGTTTCCTCCGATGAAGGCCAAAGTTTCCCATCATCAGAAGCACTTAGCACAGCTGTTTTGTAAGGTGCTGGGTTGCTTTGCTAAACTCAATTAAACCATAGAAGAATCATTAGAATGTCAAAAGATACAGATCATAAAAACTAACAACCATCTGCATTTTTGCTGATAGAGAAATTCAGTCCAGGGGAGTCTACAACAGGGGAAGAACCCAAAGGGAAAAACAACCCTGAGATTTCTAAAGCTTCTTAGGTACATGCTTATGGGGGAGGAGAAAGATAGATTAAGAAATCATTACCTCAAAAGCAACCCTGCAAAGAGAGATATACATCAAAGTCATCCGCAGGCAAATGAGAGTATCCAGTAAACCAACACCCTGTGCTGACAGAATAACCATACTTGCTTCTTGACATCTCGTCCCCCATCACAATCCTTACAGTATCCAAGGAACACCAGTTCAGGAACACACCCTGCATTGCTTAATCCCTGCTGTGAGGAACAGTCTGAAGCCTCTGGTAGCATTTAACATGACAAACAATAGTTACATGCACTAATTACAGTTAAGACCTGGTGAAGAAATAACCCTGTGGAACAAACCGAAGGTGTGCTCAGCAAACCTTAGTGACTATTATTGCAATCCATCAGTATAAGTTAAAACCAACATTATTTCAAGCTATCTCCTAAATTAAGAACTTTTGTTGCAGTCTATAGAGCTATAGACCTCAAAAGCCAAAAATGTTACTGCTGTCATAACAATATACATGTTCTCCTTTAAAAATCCACACTGAATCAATGCTCATGTGTGGTTATTACAGAAAAACTATGATGTTTGTTAATCCACTGCTCATTAAAATGAACATTCGCATACCTGGAAACTTTGATGGACTTTTTTGGAACCCTGTATCCTAAAAGCATCTCCTTTTGGAACAACTTTTCCTGTTCTTCTCCACAGCTTTACATGGACAGAGATTTTCCTCATCTCTAGCTTCATTTGTTCTACTACATCCTATTGACTTCCACAGAAGGCCATGTTGGGGGTAGTAAACCCCATCCAGGGATTTATAATTTGAGCAGCTCTTTGGGACACAGGACATGACAAACTGCAGATTCTTCCAACTGGTGCTCAATCGATTCCCCACACTGGCTCCGTTACAGTCCTCCACACACTATAAGCATTCATTTAAAGACAAGATTTTTCCTTCAGAATTAAGACCACAACCACTGACATTCCAGCCAAAGCAGCTTTCATCAGATCATTACTTATATTAAGAAGGATTTAGTGCCAAATCAGGCCTCTTCCTAACATGACAGGGAGTTCCCTCAAGCAGTGTTATAAAGAATCCATTCTTCCCACATCACTGTGTTAAGTTTTTAAGAATGAAACACAGTGTTTAGTACCAATACTTGCTCAGCAATTGCTGATAGTCTAAATATTTAAACATAAGACACATTCAAAGCATTACTACTCTAAGAACTGCTGGGCAAGCAATAAAGGAAATCGAACACCCATACTCTTCCAAAGTAAAATAGCAGCATCAGAAAGAAAGTAGCAAAATGATGCAGGAAATACTCTGTAGTTCTCATTTCTTGAATTATACTCAACAGAACAAGTTTTCAAGTACTTTTAAAACCAGAAACAATGAAACCAAAATCAATTCACAGTCTCCCTACTGAGACTGGGGGTTTATCACATCAAACACTGGAACGTGTTCACAAAAGCAGCTTGACAATGTTACCTTGGGGAACTGACAGTAAACAACTGCCTTTTAAACTGATGCACATCAATACACACATCCTCTCCAAAACAAATATTTAACCAGTCATTTGAAGAGACATTACTGCCACTGAGCAGACCTACAGAGACTCAGCCAGTGCAAAAAGCTCCTTGTAGTCAGCATACTAATCCTCCTAGTAGGCACCATTTACTCTCATGTATGAAAGCAAATCAGAACCATAGAATCAGCTGGGTTGGAAAAGACCTTTAAGATCATCAAGTCAAATCTTCACACCAGCACTGCTAAGGCCACCACTAAACCATGTCACTGAGGGCCTCATCTACACAGTTTGTGAACACTTCCAGGGATGGTGGCTCCACCACTGCCCTGGGCAGCCTGTTCCAATGCCTGAGCACCCTCTGGGAAAGAAATTGTTCCTAATATCCAACCTAAACCTCCCCTTGTGCAGCTTGAGGCTGTTTCCTCTTGTCCTATCCCTTGTTTCTTCAGAGAAGAAACCAGCCATCACCAGGTAGTCATAGAGAGTACAAAATCTCCCAAAAGAAAAGAAAGAAAACCCTCTTTTGTCTGTGTATTTGTACTTACAGCCATGGTAAGATGCTGGGGACCCTCCAGACTTCCCATACTCTTGCTCCGAGTAGCTGGTGGATAGGTTTGGCTGACTGGAGCCACGGCCAAAGGTGATCTGATTGCTACCCACTCCAGTGGCCACCTGAGCCATGCGTTCTTTGGTCTTCAGAGCTTGGGCCCTCTCTGTCTTGAGTCGCTCATCATCCTTCAGAAGAGAGACCAGCTGCTTGGATTTCTCCCTCACATTGATGCCCTGGTCTTTACCATCTCGATCAATATACTGAAAATCTTTCAACGTCTGGATAGCAAAAATATTCTCTTTACACTGCTGCGCCACTCGCTCCGAACCAGTTTTGATCAGGTAATCTAAGAGAGTCAGGGCCTTGTACACGTGTCGCCAGTTCTTGCCATGGTCATTCAGTCGTTTCCAGATCATGCTCATAATCTCAGAAAAGGCCACCACATTGTAAGTCAGATCTGCTATTTCAGTCATGAGTGAACTGGAAGGACCCCATGGGTCATTGGAAGTTGCTTCCCTAACTTTTATTTCGGCCTCTGAATAATTGTTCACGATGTTCTTCATCTGCCGCCTAATAGACGAAGTCGTCATCTTTATTTCCCTTTTTAAGAAGACAGATCCCAGAACACAAACAAGGAAAGGGCTATATCTGCTCTTCTATCAATGCTTCTGCACTGAGAAGGCTCCGGGTCAGTGGCTTATTTGTAACACGTTCCACTACAATCATTTCCTCTCTTCAAGAGAATGACACGAGAAAATGAGAATCATGACCTGCGTAAGGGAAGAAAACAAAGCACGTTAGTTGGGTCGTTAATTGTTCCTACATGGAAAGCAACCTACAGAACTCTAGGAAAATAACTCAGAAGTATAACATATGAATTTCTGTTTGAATTTCTTCTAGATGTTTGATTTTGGAAGCTATTCTTCTCACACGTAATACTAAACACTTTAGATTACAAACGTGAACAAAACCAAAGCAAGAATGTGTCCAGGCTTATGCAAATACCAAATTCTACAAGCAAAACAGAAACCAAGTCCAAGAAATCACTCAGTGATTCAGTTTCCAGCATGGTAAAACCTACCTAGGATTTTTAATTACAGAAATTACCTTGTAGAGAGGCGAAACTACATTAGAAATTCCATGCTTAGCAGCTATTAGCTTCCCTCTAGTTGACAACTGCAGTCTGCCACCACTGCTGCAGGGATCTGAGTACTGACAGAATAAGCAAACTGCCCCAAAATTAACCAAGCTATACCTGAAACCTCAGAGTCTTCTTGAAGAAGACTCCGCATTCAGTTGGGACACAGTGAAATGAGCACCAGAACAACACCCTCCAACTAAAGGTGACCTTTAAATGCTAAGTAGATTAGAGGAGAAGTTATTTTTCCAAATGCATTTACTTTGTACGTTTGACAACGCTCAGGACATCCACAGCTTCTGCTCTGTGCGTCTTGCACACAGCACAGAAGAAGTTTTAATTATATGAAAATGGAATTGTAAAGCCAAAATGACTGGCAAGGACCCCCAAGGGCAAGCTGTGGAGCTGGAAAGCTGTTTCAGTTAGCTATTTAAGGTCACTGTTTCAAGTAAACAGAGGCCTATTAAGCTTCAGAATACATTACTGGAGTAAACTGGCAGATTTTGCTATTACATTAACACAGAATAGTCTGATATTTGCCAGCTGCATGAACACTAAGCACTGATCCTGTAAGGGAACTTGCCATGTTTAATAGAGATTGCACAGTCAAGATGTCCTCCAACAATGTTTCTCCAAACACTGAAGAAGCAACAGAATCACTTACAAAAGGCACTGGAGAGAAGCAAAGCACAGATTTCCAGCCTAACATTGTTATCATTCTTCAAATTGCTCTGGTGCCATTTAGAATGAAAGCAGAAGTAAGTGTCAGCTTGGACAACATGCAGTTCTGAGATGGGCTGAGCCTGTCACCTGACCAGAGAAGCATTAAATAACATGAAATCAAAACCTCCTACATCAGTTTGATAAAATGTCCACCAAGTCCAACATCCTCAGACACAAATCCTCATGTAAAGACTATAAGAACATATATATTCCCTTGCCTGATGGATATCTTGGGCACCTCAGATGCAACCCGTGGCAGAGACTCTATAGTTAACAATAGGCACACCGTGGTTCTTCCAACCCCTTTTTGGAAGCCGCTTGTGTTTCCCATTTCACCCTCAGCAGGTACACAACAGCAGTGCAGTGTCCATGCTGCACAAGCACTTCAGCTTATTTTAACTTTGGACATTTATTTCCCGAGCTGCAGACAGAAGGGATGCTTTTTAAGCAAGAACAAATCACCTACAGCTTCTTTACATCACTCATTATTTTATGGGAATTGCCCAACTCCACTTGAAGTGAGGGTCTCCCAAAATTCAATCCCTCTATTTAGAAGCTGCTCTCTATCTCAAATCATCTCTGATGTCTTTCCATGCACATATTACACTTCTATCTCTTGAGATATACACAGTTCCAAGCACTCTACACTTCAGAGTTGTCAGTAACAAGTTCATATCACAACATAGTCATTTACTGCTTAGGATTCCCTATTCTTTATCGAATACTTTCTAAAGTCTATTTGTCTTTGGTAGTTGTGCCTCTACTTGTACACATGAAACCACGGTCATTTCCTCTCCCTGTGCAAATGTTTTAAGGCCATTTCAACTACCATTTTATCACTTCGCAGATCTTCCAGCCTTCAATTCAAAATTCATTTCAAATTTGACTAATTTGGTTCAATTTGGCCACCTTATTCAGAAATCAGCTGGAAAAGGGCGTATTTGCATGAGCACTCATCTTTGGCAGGACATTTCACTTGGAATAACCTTTCTCTGTGAGAAACAACCATTTACTCCTAACCCTGTTTCCTGTCTTTTAACCCACTGTCAATCTCTGAAAACCATCGAGTTTGTTGCTTTAGAGGCCAGGGATGAGAGGCCTCTAAGAGACCAAAATATACAAGCAAATGCCTCACCTGTGTGTACCTCCCCAACCAAAGAAGAATAGAGAAGTTTGGTTTATTACTTTTTGGTAATGGTTTATTACTTGCTTTTGAAAGAATATCATTTCAACATCACCTATGATGTTTGGAAAGGTGAATTTTACAGCACATGGCAACACCTACTAGTCCTAAACACCTCCAACTTGGCCAGCGAAATAAATAGCTGAGGAATGAATCATAATCATAACAAACAGGAACACAGACAATCAGGGTGCAATGTCACAAGGCATGCGAAGCTAATGGTAAGCCAGCACCAAACCCAGTGGCCTCCCAACCCTGCAACCGCTTCCCCCCTCTCTCTGTTGCATCAAATCTAGCACTCACACAATAGCACAGGAGAACTGATGAACTGAAAGTCTGGTAGAAAATGAGCTTTTGAGCACTGGTTTGTTTTCTGTTGTACCAGAGAGGTGAGCAGGCTACAAAGCAACATGGTCACAAGTGTTGCTGCAAGGCAGGCTATGAGAAGAATAAAAATGATCGAACCCTGGTCTTGCTTTTAAAGGAGGTAGTTCAACATAAAGGTGTCAAGATCCAGAAAACAGCATCAGAAAGCAAAGAGCTTTCATCCTGCCCAACTACACACACTAGGAACTCATACACCTGGTTTCAAAGAAGAAACCAAACAATCAAAAAGGCAGGAGCCAAGGCCCTTCTGTGCTCTCCACACAGCCTGTAGCAAAGCCATGAATACTTTTCCTTCATTTAGCTGTAAAGTGCAGGCAAGAAGCAGAAGCAAAGTTACAGCCTCATCAAGTGCAGAAATGGTTTGGACAGAACCTTGGATTTGGGAAACGCTTTGTTTATGCTTAGGATTTATTAGGTTAATTACAAACAAAGCTTCAGCCCAAAAGCAAGCGAGCTTGGAGCACGGATGTGCAGGAAGCCAAACGCATGGCAGCACCATTCCCCAAACTGGAAGCTTTGCTAAGGTGAAGCTTCTGAAGAAGGCTGCTAGCAGAGAGTAAATCTGGAGTAAAGCTTTGTGGAAACAGCTGTAGAGCAACATTTTAAGGAGAAAACACATTGGATTAAGTGAAAGGAGCACTTTTCACTCTTCCAGAAAACTAAAGATTTCACTTGTTATCCTGTAACAGACTGGAAAACCATCAGGCCATTGGTGCTGATGTGGTTCTTTACCTTCATGTCTTTGATTCATGGACACAAAGGCCTTTAATGAGGATCTCATTAATATCTATTCTTTCCTTTTCTTGGAAGACGTATTTTCTAATCCTATTCCACTTTTAACCCACCGGACACAATTCATTCTAAGCTTCATGTTACTCCATTAAAAGTGGAGTGGAAAGATGGACATCTACCCCCCATCTATCTAGCTGTACCAATATGCAAGGCAACTGTTCTGGCAGTAGCAGTAACCCTCACTAAGAACCCTGTACGTCTTGCACTATCTCCTTTACAAACCCTCTGCTTCCACACCAAAGACAAGTTTTACTTGATTATTACAGGTTTTGGAGCACTGTAACAGCCAATCTTATGATTAAAGAGATCTGAAAGCCAAACACCCTCACTGCATGAAAGTGAGAAACCAGTTCTAACGCATGATCAAATACTTACCCAGAAAGGCTTTTTCCCCCCCCAAAGACCTCATTGAATTAAGTTCGCCCAACAAACCACCAGGAAGAACGATGCAACGTCAGCAAGAGTGAGTTTGCATTTTTAACACTTTTTTAAGCAGAGAGCAAACTGCTGGATGAAAGCTGCTGTTCCTTGCTCACAACAGGCATAGGGATCAGCTTGAACAGAGCTCTTTAGAAGGTTCAAAAGAGAGAGGGAGTTGGTCTTGTTCAGTTTGGGTGAGCCTTCCTTGTTTTCTCTTCCTTGGTCCCTCCAAGCCATTTTCTCTGGTTTTGAACTATGTTGTCATCTTTAAATAGATGGAAAAGGACACAAAACAAGAAGGTGATGCTCACCTGTGCTATCACAGGTTAACTTGGAAGGGAATGTCCCATTTCCTTTTTCCTATTCCAATACTTTCATTACACAAATAACCCAAAAGAATTCTCATGGTGCTTTTCGATATACAACAGAGACAGAAGGAAATCTTGAGTGAACCTCTCAACAGCTCTCTCTCACAAGAGGTTGAATTCAGTCATTAATATCTACATGAGGAAACCATCTTTAATTTGCTAAAACTAACACAGAAATGAAGCCAAGCCACAAAATCCTTCATAAACTTAGTTCAAAGAAAGAGCCATAGAAATAAATCCACCTATAGACAGCAGAAGCCATTCAGCTCTCTGGAATGCAAAACTCAAACCATGCACTGATAAAATGCCCTTCAGATCAAGCCTAAAGGTAAATACAGACACAGTCCAGCTAAGTATGGACCAGAAACACATGAAGTACATATCAAATGGGCAATAAAAGCTACATGAAAAATGACTACAAGTTTCCAACCCAATCTGCTCTCTTTGCTATCAGGCTGGAGTGACAGTGCCAGGGATCCCTCAGGGACCTGGGGAATTCCAGGATAAATCAGAGAAGCCAGGGCGTGGAGAGCGCTTTTTACCAGTCTGCAAAGAATGAGGCTAAGAGGAAAGCGTTGCCAGATGCTGAGTAAGGACAAAGTTCCCCCAGACAGACAGACAGTGACACCACACCTGCACAGAGCAAAAAGCATGCACTCAAACATGACCCCAATCCTAACAGTAAGTCAGCTTCTATTTGTGGCAAGGAAAAAGGAATCCCATTGCACCCCACTGTAAATTCACATCCTAGTTTTCTTG